GGGGAATTCTGGGAGTTGAAGTCCGCTCATCTTAAAGTGGCCAGGTTTGGACAACACTGCCCTACGAGGTCAGGACCACCTTTAAATAACCCGCGGTTACTCCTTGGCTTACCTTTCGGCGGACGCTTTCCGCATTTCTAGCGGCTGAATTGCAATCCTTTTAGAATAAAAGGCGTCTAAACGCTGGCTTTAACCCTGCTTGTGTGCGTGTGTGCCGACGGCTAAATCCTGTAGAAGCCTGTTCCCACGGAAAGCGCCCGCCCGCGCTCGTACCTGCTCCGTGGAAAGAATTCATCTTCTTCAGCAGCCCCCGAGCCCGCTCGCACCATCCCTCCGCCGCCATGACGCCCCGGCACGAGCCCCGCCCCACTCCTGACGCGTGGATCTCATTGGCTCGCCCAATCATTCTGATTCCTGACCCGCCTTCCTCCTCTCGCGTTCCTTCGGGGAGCTCTTAGGACGGGCGGTGGGTTCGCGCCTTTTTGTTCTCTCGCCGCTGCGGTTTGCTCTGCAGGTGAGGAATACATTTGAAAAGAACCTTTGCACGGAGACGACCGTGGCTTGGAGGGAAGAGTGTGCTCCAGCTTCAAAAAAGAATCAAATTATGTTTTCAGAAAAGCTTCCAGTAGAGAACTTGGAGAGCGGCCAGCTATTGGAATAGATCTGGAGTGGGAAGGATGTGGGTCTGCATTGACTGGGAGGTCTCTGCGGTTTGCAGTACGGCCGATAGCAAGGGATCCAACTCTCCGTGGCTTGATAACGCAGACATAGGTACCCATCGCGCTGTTCTCTTTCAGGGAATGCAACATTGTCCAAAGGGCAGGAAAAGAGAAGCGGATGGCGATGGAAATTGAAATCATAAGCCAAGCGAAAGGGAAACCTCATTAAACCTAGCTCACAACGGCACTAATCAATATTGGCGTCCATGCCTAACCACGAAGACACCAAAACAATGAAATGCGTGTTGTGACATTATTACCCAAGCTCCAGCCATTTTTATTTGCACTGTCATGTAGCGTACAGACACCTAAGGGGCAGATCTGCTTTGTAGCAGCACAGTGCCTGTTTTGTCGCTTGCCTCCCTGCTGCGGATGTCTTCCTTTCTGTCCTTCCAAACTGTTTTTGCAAACTGCTTCCGCTGTGTCCATACATCATCCCGTACACTGATTTTCTTCTTTAAACGTTTCACCTCTTTTGTTTTGAAGATCTCACTGATTCTATCCAGCCATCCACAAACTGTCTCAGTCTTCCCCTTCTTCTTGGCTCATCCTTTCTTTCCCTGTGAGTCCATTTTCCTGTTCAAAGTTGTTTAATAATAGGAGCAATGAAATTACCCCAGATTATATTCCTGCAGTGAAAAACACTAGGGAGAGTGAGAGTTTGTTTTGTGTACATACGTGCTGAAGGATTGTAACTTCCACTCATTTCGGCTTCAAATTCCTGCAATTGGATTTCTGTCATTCTAAGTTTTGACTCATTGAGACTGAGTTTTCTAAGCGGGAAGGAACCCACCTATGTCCAAGGTCTGCCTGTTCCTGGATCCACCAATACAGAGTCAAAACAGATAAAGCATAAAGGTTTGTTGGTGCATTGGATTAAATGGCATGGCCTTTCCCTTCATGGCCAGCAGACCCTTGGCTCAACTGATTTTAATTTTTAAATATTATTTAATTAAATGGGAAGCTGATAAGTAAGCTATCAAACAACTGCAACATTTGTATTTACAAGAGCAGCTTTTGGCATTTGTAGAAAATAAAAAGGGGTGCCCGCTACCCTGCCCTCCAGAGGCTCGAGGGATGGCAGTGGCAGGGAGCAATTTCCCCCATTTGACCTCTGGCGATTTGACCCACACACCCACCATGGCAGCTATTTAATGAATAAAGAAACAACTGCCCCTAGTAGCCATTTTGTAAGCCACTATTACATGCTTTCAAATGTTCTAATGTGCCTTCTGTACCTAAAGAGTTGCGTATTCCTCAGTTGGTATATGAATGAGGATTGTTAGCTTTCTTTCTCTGTTCTTCAGATTTAGTTTTCAGGAAACACTGAACCTTACAACCCAACTCCAACGTGTAAGTGACACAACCAGGACAAACTTCACCATTTGATTTGGCTGGATTTATTATTCTGACTTCCAAATCCAGGCCAGGTAGATCCAGCTCTTTCTGCCAGTCTTGGTGATATGACTTATACGTTCATTTAAAAGATGTAGAAATGTAATTCTTTAGAAAAGAAAATAATGCCAAATAACAACAGGCTAATATCTTCTAAGTTTGACTAAAGTATCAAAAAGAGCGTGCAAGCCTGTGAAAGCTCGCTTGCTGTGCCATTGATTTAATTTCAAGGTAGCTATTAGCCTGCAGTGATATTGTTCACACAGTGCCTTGTGTAGCTACTCAGAGCATGATGGAGAAAGCAGGGGCAGGCAATACCAATTCTGTTCTAATTACACTGGCTTCCTGTGTTTGGGTCCAACGTAGTGCTGGCTTTGAACTTTAAAGCACTCAACTTTGCAAGACCAGGTTCTCCGAAGGACCTCCTGCGCTCCAGAGAACCTGCTCAAGATTTGATCTCAGCACCTTCTGTTGCATTGATAAATAAAGTTACTGACTGTAACAGAAATATGACCTAGTTTATATTGGTATTTTCTTTCCATCACTGGCTAACCACATGCTTCCTAAAAGCTCCCTGTAGTTGTGTATCTAGGATACACTTAACTTATATACTGAATTAAGTCATTTCCTGGCTGCATACAGGACCTCAAACCAGAAACCAACCAAATAGGCTAAGCAAAATTTTTAAAAAGCCCTTTCCCAAGATTAAAAATAAGCTTGCATGTTGTGCTACGTGGTGTCCTCCTAGGCCTGGCGAAGTATATTATATGAAAACAGCCAATGTATGAAAATAGTTCTTCCATTGTTGTTTACTTCAGAATCTAGTAATGGAAATACGCTGCCCCAATAAATGGGGGCTCCATTTCAGCCATCAATTTTAATAGCAGTTCAAAAGAATCAGACTTCAATCAGATTGAGTTAGGGAAACAATCTTCTTTATTTATATACTTATTAATATTACACTTTGAATATTTTTACATTTTTCTTTTTTTTTCTTTTGTCCTAAAGTGTCTGGTCTCTAAGAATTTTTTATCACAATGGCCAGTAGAAAAATAACCAAACTCTTAAAAACAAAGGCGCTCTTTAGTGCTTCCCACAAAGATCGGGAGAAAAGAGAACTGCGGAACAGTGCAGAGTGGAGACGCTTTACAGTATTGGGGTGAGGAAGCAATGGGTTTAGAGCATATCACAAAGGGACTCAGTTTATTATGTACAGCGCAATTCGGTATCAATGGCTGTGCACGTGCCCTGCTTCAAACAACTGGAAAGGCAAGGCCGAGTCATAAACCCTGTATGGAGGATAGTAGTAAATACGTTTTCTCAAGTGCGCTTAATTTTCATTTAAACTTGGTTGGCTTCTGCTACGACCCACTAAGCAGCAGAACCCCTTCGGGACTGTAGTGGAACTGGGAAGTTGGAACTGTTGCTTCATCTCTCCAGGTTGGGAATAGAACCTAGGAATTTGAGGAAAATTATTATTTTTCTGATTCCAACTGAATTTACACTCTGGCAAGCAATCCAGAAACTCAAATGCCGTTTCAAAAAAATGGTCAACACTTATAAGGTTGGGGGGTGTTGGGAAAAAGTATTTTAAAGGACACTTGATCTTAGCTGTTTCATCTCAGGGGAACATATCGACAATATATTCTGTTAAATCTAGCTTGTTCTACTTGTTACCCCAGTCCCCAATTTAAACCCAGTTGATTGGCATTGTTTAGCAATCCACTGACGATACCAACTAATTTTCCTGCCTCCTTGGGATTACACAAAAGTGTGGATTGGTATTGTGATCAAACATTTGGGAAGCTGCAACACACAGTTAATATGCTGCGTTTGGATTGGTAGGTCAAAAGTTGTGCACTCCTTTGTTATATGATCACCTGGCCCCCTTAGCTCTTCCTTTGGACGTATGATCTCCAGGCTCACTTTGTGACACGTCCCATCATGCCTAGAGAAGTGCCACACCTTCTCGATATGATACCCTGATGAAAGTGCCCACAAAGGGGCCTAAGCCTGGTTGCCCCTCTCCTTCAAAGCTGGCCAGTTTCTGGACTGAATATAGCAGCTTTGTACTCAGAACAAAGTGAATGGCATAGCTTAGATACCACTCTTTTTTTCCCTCACCTTTTCGTATCAGTCAGATCAGATGATTCACAAAAGAATCCAGATGATTGTCTTTCTGACCAACCTCTTTTTCTTCATCCATTTCTTTTACTCATAAGTTCCATTATATTGTGAAAGAAGTAGAACCATCTCCAATGTACTAAGTACCACTTAGATTGATCTATAGATGTTGTCAATAAATTAATAAATAAATAACTGACCTCCCCATCCTGCCTCAGCATCTTAATTCATTGTGCTTTACAGTTATTAAAACACTTCAAAGGTACTATATACTGCAGGAGAGAGGGGGTGGACTTTTAACTCTAGGACAGACTTTCAGCACCCAGTGCCACCTCTAGACACGTCGGCTATGCAGGGTTAGAATCCAAAGGAAACCAGTTTAGAGAAGGATGCCTTAGTGTTTTAGGCATTGGCGTGGCTGACGTTGGAGTCTGGGGGCTTTGGATTTTGAATGCAGGGAATTTTCAATGTTCAGATCCAGATTCTAGGCTTTTCTTTGCTTCTCTCCTGCAAACTTCAAGTCTGGTGTGAAGCCCTCCTGACAGCATCCCAGGAAGTTGCATCACTGTGCCACCCAGGATGAAAGTTAGAGCTCCTTGGTCTTCTAGTGGCAGGGAGGGATGTGTAAAGAAAGAGGACTCTGTGTTACGCTGGACTGTTTTTTCCCTTTACACCTCATCTTCAAGAGAAAAAGGGTGAGGATTCTGTAGCAAAACACCAAAGGGACTGATGGTCCTTCGACAGACAGAGGATCAAAAAGAGTCCTGTTCAGATGAATTTCATCTGCTGTTGTGTAGATTCTTGGGGAGAAGAAACCCCTCACCACATGCACAGACATACACACAATCTATTATTAAGAGATGTCCTATCCTTAAAACTATTTGTCAGTGATTAAAGAACAGAGAACTGAACAAAAGCTACTGTAATTTCCAGGCTAGTAAACTGATGGTAAAAAAATGCAGGCTTCTCCAGCCAAAGCCCCTGATCTCTATGTGGTCATAAGTGGAAAAGTTTCCCTTTCTCTACCCT